GTTTGTAAAATACAGAGCGAATGAAATAAGCGAGAGGCTCTCAAATCATTTTATTCCTGAGAACATGCAGGTGCTGCAAGCTTGAAATTTACATGTGCAAACTACCTCAAACCTTACAATAAGATTTGAATGATAGATGGGAGAGGATGGGCGTATCCACCCTGCAGCTTTGCCTAGGCTCAGAAATAAGCCCCGAACAGAACCTTTCCTGAAAGCTCAGAGAAGGGTCTCTCTCCAACCTCCGCAGCGGTAGGTTTCCTGGAGGGAGAAGCGTGGTTGGGCAGTTTACTACCCCTCCCAGTCAGTGTGGGATCTTCTTGCTGGTGAAGCAGGAGAACAGATGATGCCTCCTCCTTTTCCACTACAGGCGTCTCGTTTATAGGAATCTGACTAGGAAGCCTGCTTTGGTGCAATGGGAGCCTCTCTGGAGGGCGATAATTATCCCATCACCGTAAAATATAAGAGACCAGTCAACGTACGTCAGATCCCGCCAAACTCATGGGGATTTTGCCCCCGGGCACTCTCAAGAACCTCTGAAATCCAGTGCTGTGGCGGGTGAGACACACCCAGCGGCTGATCCTTTGGCTCCTGCTGCCTCAGAGGTAGGGCTAAGGCTCTCCTCTGAAGGAGGGAGAAGGTGCCACCCCTCTACTCCCTAGAAGAGACCTGGTAGTAGAAGGTGGAGTAGCCTGCTGAGTCAAAACGACAGCAGGTTTGAGGGAGCCAAGGCCTGGGGAGGGTAGGACATACGAGCCGTGGTGCCATTCAGGCCCCTGAGGTTCAGATAGATATCCGGCCAGAAGGGTGATAATCAGAACCCTTTAAAAGTTGGCCCATCCCTAATTTAAATATGCATTTGAACCCTGCTGCTTTATTGTACATTACAGAATTTTTAAAATTTTTGTTCAAGATTAATACCTCTCGGACATGGGTCTGTTTGTGACATGGCAGGAGCGGCGGTGGGCAAAGCTGGGCCGTTTTTTAAACTGGCCTGTGGGAGGGGAGAAAAAGCCCTATCGCCTTCTCACCACAGAGGTGAGCGTCCCCATTCCCAAAGGCAGCAGGGAAGGTGTAAACTGTGCAGTGTACCAGTTAAAGGAGCGGTGATCTTCAACAGTGAATGATTGAAGGGATGGTGTCAGGTGAACACAGGCCCACACTGTTGGTTTTATGACCCAAAAAGCAATATTTGGCCAAACTAGAACAGTTTCCATGGATACTTTTTTAAATTATAGATTCCTGTGGAAATTTGTATTTCCCCACCTGAAAACAGCAGCAAGTGTGCTGATTGGGAAGGAACTGAAAAATTAAATTAATTCTAAACAGCAGCCAAACAGACCACAGTGCAAAAAGGAAATTATTAATGGAACACAAATTAGATTCTTAGCTAAAATCGCTTTAGCTTTAAGGTCCTGGGAAATTAATAGGACTACACAGCCTATAAGTCAGGGCAGAGTGGGTCTTTACAAAATTATTTAGTGTGTGTTAAAAGAGTTAAGGAAGTTATGCTTTTTAACGATGCATCCAATTCATCCCAAAATAATCTCCCCTGGCTTTAAGGATGAATTTCTTCCCCATTTCAAAAAAAAGAAAAGACACTGTCCCTTTAATCAGATCTGTTCCAGTGAAGAACAAAACCTACAGATCTGCAGTTTCACACCACATTGATTAATCCCACTCCTCCCCTCTGTGAAGCCTCCAGCTATCTTTAAACAGCCAGTGCCCATGGAGTACGTTAGCTTCCTGCATGTCAAACAAGGGGACATGACCTTATATAACCAATTCATTTTTGTTTATCTACCTCTTAGTGACAATAGAATAAAATAGGTAGTGGCAACTCCACATGCGGTAGTGTAGAGGAAAAAATTACTCTCTTTTTCCAAAGAAAAAATGTTTTTAAAAAAAATAATAGAATGTATGGGCTTTCTTTTCACTTTAATGTGTTCATTCGTTGTAAAAGTTCCAAACCTCAGCAGTGCTAAATTGTTCAGTTGTGACTAATTTTTTTAAAATGCTCAATATTCCATTACTTTTTTTTTTCTTTTTAACTTTGATATTTACTTCTGTCAGCAGTACAACTTCTCTCCGCTCCTCTGTCTCAGCGGACGCTTTGTTCGTGTGATGACTGGTCACTTTTGCATAGACTGGCATTCAATTGCCATTCGGACCACATTGCTTTAGCGGCATCCAGATGGTATGCCTTTAAAGTGGGGAAGTATTTTTAAGTGGTATGAAATCTGGATGATTCCTTTTTACCAGTGCTCAGCATGGGTTAACGATAAAGCAATCAGGGCTGCATTATAAAAGTAACAACCAAACAGGAATGGATTGTGTGACTAAAGTGACTTCTTACATGATCATCTGAAGCTTAGGACAGTTCAATACACAGATGTGCATATAGAGGTAAAACTAATGCATATTGCAGTTATCCTGGTTTTGAAATTCCCAGTCAGCTGCCATGTTGTTCTGTACTCCCTCATGCTTGATATTGGGGGACATGGGGAATAGCTTGTCCACCTGATTGATTTATTCAAACAAGTGTGTGGAACAAAGTGCTGCTTTCCCCCCGCCCCCGAGTCACTGATCCAATGTAATTTCAGACTATTCATCAAAAAGTTGTACTTGACTGTAATGATATTTTTCCTCCCTTCGGTTGATTGTTTATTTTCTCTCTACTCCCCTTTCCCCTTCTGCTCCATGTTCTTTACCTTGTACTTTTGTGAGGCAGGTTAGTTGGCTCAGATCTGGAGTTGTGATTGTGGATGGACGTGGGCTCCATTTTTCTTCCAGCTAGGTTTTGCCACAAACCTCTTTACTCCACTGTTTCATTTTTAAAAATAAAGCAAAAAAAAAATTATACTGCACCTGTGTGTGTTTATCTCCATTCTGAGGAGAAACAAAGAGGTCAGCGATGCTGAGGTGTGGATGGGTGGGTGCTAATATAACTCAAGGCACAGACTTAGCAGACCTGCATGCCTCACACTATCACAGATGCCTCACTGGACTCTCTGCAGCGTTACAGCTTTGTTACTGAATACAGTATACTCCTGATTATCTGAACGGCATACAATTTCTATTCCCCGATGTGGTCCTCAGGCCAAAAAGTTTGCCTGCCCCTGGCTTAAGCTCCTTGCTGAAGCTCAGCCTAGATGTAACATCTTAGGTGAAGACCATTGTAGAACATTTCATTGCAGCGGAACAAGTAACTCAACAAATGTATCTGACAAATGTAGCCTATCCTTGCTTTTGGCTCAGACACAAATAGTTAAATGATTTTCTTTCATTAAATGCTTATTTGAGAGTGATGAATTTGGGGATTGCTCCTGCTTTGAGCAGGGGGTTGGACTAGATGACCTCCTGAGTTTCCTTCCACCCCTGATATTCTATGATTCTGACTCGGATTTGATTTAGCCCATCAGGAATTGGGATAATTGAGAAGGCAGGTGTCATTCAGCAGCCTTCCACATGGCAGACTCCTTGCTGGCCAGGCCAGGGGTCTCTGCTCTGCCCTGTTCACCCACTCCCATGACAGTGGGGCTGCAGAGGGTTCCTGGCTCTGCCGCAGGGCCAGGGCCACCCGATCCCTGCAGGTGGAAGATGCAGGGCAGAGCAGAATCCCCTGGCCAGTATTCTGCTGTGCCAGGACTGCAGCCTTTCCTGCACCATGCACCTGCAGGGATTGGCTCCACTCACCTGCTCCTGTGACAGCAGGGCTGCAGAGACTCCCTGCACTGTGGCAGGAGCCATTCAGCAGCAACGTGACCTCCCTCACAGCTGGGAGCACAGCTGCATCCGAGTCCTGGCCAGCGCTCTCTTCTCTATTATATGCACCTCTTGATTTTCCTTATCTCCTCTTCCCCCTCTCCCCCCAAATGAGAGATGAGGAAGGGATTTAGATAATGCAGGAGTTCAGATGATAGGGTTTGGGGAGCAAACACTCTCAGAACAAAAGCTTAGCAGAGACTTTCCTGGGCAGTGCCTAGCACCCTAAAGGGCCAGTCAGAGCTGGGATTTCCAGGTGCTACTGCAGTACAAAGAGAGAAGTGGCTAGTGAGTTGAGGACCTGCTGAGGAAAGGCATCTTCAAGGGGCCTGGTTTTCAGAAAGCGCTGAGCACCCACTCTCTAAAAAAGTAGGCCCTTTAGAAATGGAGCCTTCATTGCGTCACCCAAAGTCATTAGTCGCTTTTCAAGACATTGGTGTTTCTGTGCCTTACAAGAACATTAGTGTTGGCAAAAATTCAGACATTCATGGTCATCGAAGTTCTCCCGCAGTAACACTGCCTTTCTCCCACCCAGTCTTCTCCATCTAGATTGTAAGCTCCATAGGCAGAGATGGTCTCACACCATGCATATGTACAGAGTCTAGCAAAATGAGGCCCTAAATCTGTGATCTCGGTTGGAGCTCCAGTAATAAAGTGAATCCGAGGGACCTGACCGTGGCAGCCATTCAAGTTTAAAAACTGGAGCAAATAGGTACAGGATTCCTCCCTAACCGTATTAACTTAGTGCTTTGTATTCTGCTGCCACAACTAAAGCCGTCGATAGAATCAAGGTATCATTATGCACCTCGACTGTACTACACAGCAGGACTCTCAGACAGCAGTACGGACCGGCTTTCACACAGGGCCCTTTTCTTTTTATGAAAAAAGAAAAGGAGTACTTGTGGCACCTTAGAGACTAACCAATTTATTTGAGCATGAGCTTTCGTGAGCTACAGCTCACTTCATCAGCTCACGAAAGCTCATGCTCAAATAAATTGGTTAGTCTCTAAGGTGCCACAAGTACTCCTTTTCTTTTTGCGAATACAGACTAACACGGCTGTTCCTCTGAAACCTTTCTTTTTATGGTAGCTTTTAAAACACCCACCTTAAATACTTTTAAGAAGAACACTGCAGCATTGAGAATACACAATCTCTTACCTAATTATAAAAAGGATAGTAAGTGTACTAAAAAATTCCTTTAATCACCATTATGTAGAAAGCTCTCAGTGTCACCACCGGGGGAGACAGAGCACAAAGAATTTCAGCTCTTGCGTGAATGGATAGAAGGACTTTTCAGAACCACAAGGAAACTTCCTTTTAAGTCAATGTTCAACTCAAGATATTTTAATTATCCACATCACAACAGTGGTGTAAAGGAACCCTGATCACGGTAGGTGTTGTCCAATCATAACAGAGATAGCCCCTATCCCAGTGAGCTCACAGGGGCTCAGGACAGCCAGAGAGGAGCTAACAAAACAGCTGAGCAACAAAATCAAAGCTAGGTGATTTGCCTAACCAATGTCAGAACATTTTATACCAAGGCCAAGTTCTCTCATCTTGTCAGAAATATGGGGCCATGATGCGTAAGACCCATAGTCTGCTTGTGGCATTTACTTCTTGTCTCAGATTAGTATCCAGGTCCCACCACTGTGGTAATGGTGGGGTGTTTTTGATGCTGTGGTTAGCTGCCCGCTAGGAACTGAACTCCACCATTTCACATAGGCCATGAGCTAGCAGATGAAAAGAACTCAGATCACATGAATGTGGACTGCATTCAGGCAGGACAGTTAGGAGAGTTTGCATTTTTCTCTTCTTAAGTGAAAGCTTCTTAACTAAACCAGATTTCCAACATCCCCACTTGGGTCTTTAAGTAAGGAGTAACCATAAGAAGTTCTCAACAGATATTGCATAGGGAACATACTAACTCCATTTAGGATAAACCAAGCACTTCAGTCTATACATGAAAGTCATTGTGCTTCTGGCACTTGACTTGAGAACACTCATTCCAATTACTCTTCCAAGAAGGACGTCACAACCTGGGCATCCCTGTTAATCCATTCAAATGCAGGAATAATGGGGAGTGCTACCAGATCAAATCAGTAGGAATTCTACCCCGGCCCCCTTCACTCTGCACTGGCTGGAAAGAATACAGTGCAGGGCCATGATGAATCTGGCTCATTATTAGACAAACTGTCTCACCCTATAATCAGAGAAACTTTGCAACGAAGAAAACACCATTGCAAGGCCTGTAGCAGGACCCGAATGCAGATAACACACATGACTCTGTTGTCCATTTCAAGTTTGGGCCAAGAGATTCCAGAATCCCAAATTCAGTCCATTAAAAAGTTTTTATAGAAAGGTAGGTGCAAAAGGAAGGCATCCAGTGTGGCATAAATAAGGCAATTAGGCTGAAGCCCAGAGCATACTCCTGCCGTGGGCATCAGGGAGGTTACCGTAGGAATTGCACACGGCAGGGTAAAAGGGTTATCTTGTTGAGTAGCATTTCAGTTGGTTTTTGAAGTAGTGCAAAGATAGCTTAAATTGCACCTGTGCTTTGGTGTTGATCCGGAACCTTTTATATTGGTCTTCTACCTTAGTCAGGTTGGGATCAGATGCGGGATTATGTGCTTGGTGACCGATAGAAACATCAGTGCAGGAACCGACAAGCAAGATGCCCAGTCCATCCATGAAAAATTCTGGGGAGGAAAAAAAAATGTAAAAGCAAAGTTAAGCGACCCTGTGTTTCCCCGAGAACGGCTGTGAAATTATTTTACAAGGCTCTGTTCAAGGGACACCATCATAGGACCTAACCATTCAAGGGACACCATCATAGGACCTAACCACATCAGCCACACCATCAGGGGCTTGTTCACCTACACGTCTACCAATGTGTATATATGCCATCATGTGCCAGCAATGCCCCTCTGCCATGTACACTGGCTAAATCAGACAGTCTCTACGCAAAAGAATAAATGGACACAAATCTGACATCAGGAATTATAATATTCAAAAACCAGTAGGAATACACTTCAATCTCCCTGGTCACTCAATAACAGACTTAAAAGTGGCAATTCTTCAAAAAAAAAAAAATCTTCAAAAACAGACTCCAGTGTGAAACTGCAGAACTGGAATTAATTTGCAAACTGGACACCATCAAATTAGACCTGAATAAAGACTGGGAGTGGTTCGGTCATTACAAAACCTAATTTCCCCCATACTAATTTCCTCTTACTCTTACTCACACCTTCTTGTCAACTGTTTGAAATGGGCCACTCTCATTACCACTACAAAAGTGATTTTTCCTCCCTTGGTATCCTACAGTTAATTGAATTGTCTTGTTAGACTGACCTCCCACTTGGTAAGGCAACTCCCATCTTTTCATGTACCGTGTTTTTACACCTGCCTATTGTATTTTCCACTCCATGCACCTGATGAAGGGGGTTCTAGCCCACGAAAGCTTATGCCCTAATAAATTTGTTAGCCTCTAAGGTGCCACAAGGACTCCTCATTGTTTTTTTCTTGATTTCAAGGCAGCCAGGATTTTACCCCTGGGTTCAGTTCCTAGCTCTGCCGCTCACCTGCTTGGTGACCCTGGGCAAGTTACTTCACCTCTCTGGGCTTCCAACTCCCCTCCTGCCTCTCATCTATTTTAGACTGCAAGTTCTTCAAAGCAGGGACTTTTCTTACTACATACTTATACAGTACCTAGAACAATGGGTCTCCAGTCTTTGTTGGCACACTATAGTAATACACATACAATCATGCATTGCACAATGTTCGTTGTTAAAAGTATGGGTTATTAAACATCATTTAGCCTACTTTAAGTTTAATGATTAAATGTTTTAAGAAAATCAAGAGCAGCTGCTAATGCTTTATTTCAAACATCCATTTAGTTTAGCTGTGAAACAGGGTGTCATAGGGAGACCTGGCCCTTTAAGGGGACTACCTAGGGCAGGGCTGGGCAAACTTTTTGGCCCAAGGGCCACATTGGAATGCGAAACTGTATGGAGGGCTGGATAGGCAAGGCTGTGCTCCCCCAAATAGCCTGGCCCCCACCCCCTATTTGCCCCCTCCCACTTCCCGCCCCCTGACTGTCCCCCTCAGAACCCTTGACCCATCCAACCCCTTCTGCTCCTTGTCCCCTGACTGCCCCCTCCTGGGACCCCCTGCCCCAAACCGTGCCCCCCCCCGGGATCCCCCCCCGGGATCCCCCCCCCATCCAACCCCCTCCTGCTCCCTGTCCCCTGACTGCCCCGACCTATCCACACCACCGCCCCTTGACAGGCCGCCCAGGACTCCCACCCCCTATCCAACCCCCCCGTTCCCCGCCCCCTGACTGCCCCATAACCTCCGCCCCATCCAACCGCCCCCTGTTCCCTGATGCCCCCCGGGACCCCCCACCCCTAACTGCCCCCTGCTCCCTGTCCCCTGAGTGCCCCCCAGGATCCCCTACCCAACTCCCTCACCATGCCGCTCAGCGGCAGGAGCTTGCAGCCCTGCTGCCCGTGCAGCGGCATGGCTGTGCATGTGTGGGGAGCCCGGGGGTGAGCCTCCTGGGCCAGGAGCTCAGGGGCCGGACAGGACGGGCCCAGGGGCTGGATGTGGCCTGCAGGCCGTCGTTTGCCCACTTCTGCTCTACATGGGTCTGCCCTGGCTTCATCTTCTCACCTCCTTTTCGTTTCTTTCTCCTTTGCCTGAGCTAACCTTCTGGGCCCTACCTACCATGCAGATGCACTTTAGTCCCTAAACACAGGGCTTTCTACATTCTTCATCTAATTAAAATCAAAGCATGTCTTTGCAGAGCATTAAGCAGAGAGCAGAACTCTCCGTGGATTCGTGGTTACAGGTAGCCCTAGGTCTAATCTAACTTGCTGAAACACTTTAGGGTAGGATTTTCAAAGGAATTTAAGGGAGTTGGGCATCTAACCCAACCAGCGGTGGGATTTTAGGTCAGGGGATCTAAAAGCTCTTTACAAAAGTTAAGCATTATCACTTCTGTTTCATAGAAGCCCCTCCCCTCCCAAGACTCAGAGACAGGATAGGACTTGCCCTCTACACTGCAGCTGGGAGGTGCAATTCCCTGCTCAGGGAGATTCGCACACAGTAGCGCCGATCAAGCTCGCACACTGAAAACAGCGTGGCCAAGGCCAGCCGCCCAAGTACAATCTGTTGGAGATCCTAGGTATGGAGTCGGGAGGCCAGCCCAAGTTACAGGAGTGCTAGCTTGGTCAGAGCTACCCCAGGTACGTCTACCCGAGCTAGGAATGACACCTTCCAGCCACAGTGCAGATACCCCCACAGAGCCTACCAGAGAGCTGGGAATAGAACCCAGGCGTCCTAGTCCATGTTCTAACCCTGGGAGAGGCCCCTCAGCAGCATTAGTGAAAGCAGAGAGCTGGAAGCCCCAAGACTGAAACAAAGGAAGGAAAAAGACAAACATGATAGCGTGAGAGAAAGCTTCTGTGGGGCAAGCCACAAGCGGCAGACACCGAGAGCCAGGCCTGCCGACAGCAATGCCGGGCCCCAGGGCAGAACAGTCAGTGGGCCCCCACAAACGCACAAGCCACGCCAGCGTGGACGTGGTCCGCCTGACATTTGGGCGGTGCTGCGCCTGTGCTGGCTGGTACCCAGTGAGCTGCTGACTGCGCTGCTGGGCGCGCTCTCTTGGCATGGCCAGGGCTTCCACATGCCCGCCGGTGGAGTTGCCAACTGTCCAATTGCGCAACCCCAAAGACCCTTGCCCAGCCCCTGCCCCTTCCCTGAGGCCACGCCCCTGCCCTGCCCCTTCTCCATCCCCCCTCCCTCTGTCGCTCGCTCTCCACCATGCTCACTCACTTTCACCAGGCTGGGGTTTGGGTGCGGGGTGCAGGCTATGGGAGGGAGTTTGGGTGTGGGGCGTGGGCTCTAATCTCCTGGGCCCCTGGGCAATTGACCCTTTGTCCCCCCGTCGGCAGCCCTGCCCAGAGCTTGCTTGCCTGCACTCGGAGAAAGAGAGCGTGTGGCTTACCTGAGTGAGCTACTCTTTGCAGAAGAGGGTCATAGCCGACGTGTCTGCTTTTGTCTGTATGGGCCAGGAAGAAGTTGACCACACCACTGGTGACCACACAGTTGGGGAACCCTTCCAACTTGTGGAAGGAGCCGTATCTCAAATGCAGACAGCCGCTGTCGTCACCCTGATCATAGAGCAGCTGAAAACTGTAGGTGTTCCCATTCACGCTGCCTCCAACCTGGAGAGCAAGACCATCACCCACGTTTTTCAGTTATCGCTTTTCATCTCTTGGCAGACTCAAAGCCTGGGCTAACATCCGCTGACATCAACAGAAGCCCTTCCATTGACTGGCCCAACCCCCTGAACATTGTTACTGTTCTGCACAGTGGGAATCTCAACATGAACAAGCCCCAGTTTACAATAGCTTCTAGGTTCTTGTGAGCTGCTGTTTGGAGCTCATTCCCTATGACATCACGTTCTTCTTGTTCCTCATACCACTGTCTGTGTTTATCAGCTCAGAAACTGGAATGTTGTTTCCACTAGCGTGGTGTAGGTGCTGGTGAAAGCTGCTGGATTGGGATCACTAGAGAGACCAAAGTTCTGGGCCAAGATCAGACACGGCATATGCAGAAGCAGGACAATCCTCCCTCCCACCTAACCTAGAGACATACCATGGAGTCATGTCTCCATGGTACATTCTTTCATTGGCCCTACTGACAACACGGCCAATCTAATAAGCAGCCAAAACTGCACTGAGATCTACTCATTTCACACGGGGCACCAAACAGCTCTCATCGGAAACTTGTTACCCTTCACTAAGGATTTGGGTTGGATTTGAAAACATCATCACCAGAAGTTATAGGCCATCTGTTCCATAAATCCTCAGAACCATCCACTCTCTCAGGTCAGCTGTCACAGCCCAAGGTGTGGAAATATTTCCCAGAAACTCTAAAAAACCTCTGAATCAAGAAAATACTTAATGGGATCAAAAACAGCTTCAACTGGCTTCAAAATGTTCTTATTGACCTTGGGTAAGTATTCTTTCTGGAGTTACGATCCAAGGTGAATGGGTGGTGAGGGAAGATTGTGATCCAGATTGGAGCTGTTTTTCCAAAATTGGCCAAGGAGAGTCCTGCTCTTGGCACAAACTGATGTCACTTTTCAAGAAGAAGACATCTAGTGTTTGAACAAAACCAAGAATCCCATTGCAGAGGTAGTAAACTAAAGTGATCAGGAAGGCAGTTGCATCAGGCTTACTGTTTACCAATACTGTGCCCTATCTGTTCACTTTTCTGCCTGCTATGTGGTTGTATAGAACCAAAACACAGAAAGGAGGCAGATACCCAGAACTAAGTAGTAAATATCCAGGGTCAAATGGTAATGCACCAATTTAAGATGGGCACATTTCTGAGAAGGTGAAACCAATCTGATGCATGAAGAAAGCCAAGTAACATAGATGAGAAACACACACCACTCTCAAAGAATATTTTGCCAGATAGCACTAACCTCTGGTGTGGTCACAGTCAATCTAAAAATCCATACAAGATTTTCCCCATCATTTGAAAGCAAGTTTCCCACCCTTACCTTGAATCGTATTTTAACACAATAATAAAGATTTATGGCATAATCTGATGAACAGAGGACTAAGACAGGTCTGCAGAGGAATAAATTTTGAGAGCTGGAAGCAATATTCCTTTTCCCTCCTGACTAATGGCCAGATTTTCAAAGGCTCAGCACCCATTGTAACACTTGAGCTCTTTCAAAAAGCCCAGAACATTTTCCAAGGGTACAATTTTTTTGCATTTCTTACCATATCCAAGTTTGTTCTCTCCAGCACATCCAATAGTTTCTCAATTTTGGTGTTTTCGGTGAATAAGAAGTCATCATCAACCCAGAGATAGTACTTGGTTGTGACCTGAGATATTGCAAGATTCCTTCCAGCAAACCAACCCTGGTAAACGGGAATCATCAAGACACAGAAGGGTAGGGTCAGAACAGCTTTATAAGAAGAAAAATTATATATATGCAAATACACACACACAAAGCTGCTTAGCTTTGTGCAAATCCCTTTTATCCAGAAACTATTCTGAAAAGGAGGGTCATCTGAACCACTGAATGAGAATGAAATAGAACACCTTTGTAACAAGGAGTGACCTTATAGTAAGACAATCACTTGCCCATGTGATAGAAGAACCAGTATATAAGGATAGTTAAGCACTGGAAGTATTTACCTAAGGAGGTTGTGGAATCCCCATCTTTGAAGGTTTTTAAGAACAGCTGTAGACAACCCCCTGGAAGGCATGGTCTAGGTACATTTGATATCGCCTCAGTGCCTGGGGTGGACTAGATGACCTCTTGAGGTTCCTTCCAACCCTACATTTTTACAATTGTAGGATTTTAATTCATTAGGTCAGGTGATTTTTCTACAGGAGACTTCAGTCACCATCCTATAACCTCTCTCTATTTGTATAATTCCCAGGGCTCTTCACATTCCTTATGGACCCCAAGGTTCCCTCATTGTCTCTCCTCCTCCTATCCCCAGGTCGCTGCAAGCCCTCTGCTGGCCAAGGACTGGGTGGGCCTGCCTCTGAAACTCATTAATGAGCACCAAGAAAATCACTTTTGAGCAACATGGAGGCATGCCTTGTCCCATGCTGCCAGCCAATGGGGCTACTGAGAACAGACAGGAGCCTTAAACATTCATCTTTGATCTTTCATAGAGCATTACAGGCCAGTGAGCCAGTGTAACTATTTTTACAAAGCTTGAATAGTTACACAACAAGATGCTCCATTCACAAAATGTGCTGGACACCCACCATTCCCATTTATGTCAGTGAATGCTCAAAATGAGGCCAAAAATTCTGTATAGTCAACAACGTGTTGACTAAGTCCATGAAGATTAATAGGTTGGTAAACCACTAGGAACTGGATTTAGACCACTAACTCATCTCATATACCACTACGGTAGCTTAAGTTAAATTGCTCTGGTACCAGTGGTAAAGCCCATAGACTGACATGGAGAATTCAGTCCCCTCTGTCCCAGCTATCCTAGCTAAGCAGCCTTGGCGCGAGGTCATGGAACAATAACTGGATATAAATTTGAACTGGTGGCCTACAGGTGAAAGATTCTATACAACACAAACAATCCTCATGAGCCATTCCACTTCATTTCTTTGGGCAGGATGGAACTGACCACATAAGTCTTAAGAGTCCTTAGCAGACATGTGTGGTCCAGTGGATGGGGCATGGTGTTGAGATTGGGCCTCAGGAAACATGGGTTCTATTCCTGGGTCTGCTGGGTCACCTTCTCCTCTCTGTGCTTCCATTTCCCCTCCCACTTTTGTCTGGCTCATCTACTTAGACTGTGAGCTCTTTGGGGCAAGGACTGTCTCTTACTATGTGTTCGTAGAGCTCCCAGCACAACAGGGCCCTGGTCTCAGCTAGGGGCTGTATGTGCTAACATAATCCAAATGCTAATAAGAGATGGTATTTTCAAGAGTGCCTAAGTGTTTTAGGAACATAAATTCCACTGACTTACATTAGGATTTGCACTCCTAAAACACTTAGGCACTCTTGAAAATATCATCTCTTATTAGCATTTGGATTATGGCGGCACATACAGGCCCCTAAATCATTTGGAGCTTTTAATAAATCCAATCCAAAAAGGTGTGTTATTTAGGATGTGGCCTCTACCAATGAACAATCCTTCTGTGAAACGCAGGCTGGAGGGCCTGGGCTGAGACTTGTCTACATGGCCAGTCCTGTGCAAGTGACAGACCTTTCCAAAAGGCATGATGTAATGCTCAATGTTCTCCCCGCTGATCTTCTCCGAGACTTCACTGTCATCGGCGACGATGATTTTTATGTCAGGGTAGTACTGTCGGATGCTCTTGATGAGGAGCCTAAGTTTGTGATAGCGCAAGAAAGTCTTCGTTGTGATAGTCACCAGGGAGCTGATCTTCCTATCTGTAACCGTAAACAGGGAAGTGCAGAGGCTTGTAACATTTTACGGCAGTTCTTTGCTTTTACTCACCATTCCTGAAAGATCTTACCTGCAGGAGGAAGGTGGGCATGTGGTTAGTAGAGCGAACTAGAACACAACAGCTGGGTTCTCTTCCTAGCACAGACTGCCACAGACCATGGGGAAGAGCAACAGAGCTAGGCCAGCAACCGCTAGACTCTGAACAAGTCATCCTCTTTGTCCCTAAGTTGCCCTATCTGCAAAATGGAGGTAGGGACGTGGGGCATCCCACGGATTAGCTAGTGTTTGTGAAGTGCATTGAGATCCTCAAATGGAAGGCACTACACTAAGTGTTGTCGGAGCCAATCCAAGGTTTTCCCGGGATTAGAACGTTTAAAAAGGTCCGTTCATTCAGGGCTTTTCAGTGGACGTAACTTTGGAAGAACCTAACTGGCCACAAAACATTAACTAGGATGCTGATGTGTTTAGCCCTTGTCAATTACACACATTTTTGAATGGAGAGGCATCAGGAGACCGGAAAGACTTTAAGAAGCCCAGCATCAGGCCTAAAAGAGTAACTAACTTCCACCACAGTAAAGTCTGGAGTAAGGATTTACCATCAGCAATTGCCAGCTTGCTGGAGCCACTCCCTGACACCCCCTTAAAAGGGCAAAAGGGGTTTCCTACAGGGAGGTACTCAGAAACACTTACCTGCTCCAGGATCAAACAACTTTGGAAGGCTGGGCTGTCGGATGATCACAGGAAACTGAGCCACATGATGTCTGCTCTCGAAACTCACTTGGAAAACAAGAAAAGCAGAATAGGAAAGTTGCATCACTCATAAGTCTTCAGGTATTCTGGAGATCTTTGATGACACAGTGGAAACCTCCAAGTAAGAACCTTGATTGGAAATCCATTTGTTCCCTGGCAATGCTTTAGGCTGGAATAGATAAAAGTGGCCCCCCTGATTTTATATAGTGTTAAATGACCTTCCAGCCTCAGTGATGGAAAATGGACAAGTGGGAAGCCTAGAAAGAGTTCTTTGAAAGACCTCTTGTTCCAACTGACTCAAAGAACTGGATACATTTTTTGACAAGTACCAGGAATTCTCCTGGCTTGGCAGTCTTGCTTCACCTCATGTGTAGTTAGAAGCCAAAAAGACTGAAGCCCTGATTCACTAGGAAGCAGGGCATTGAAGGGGGCTTTAGCTTCCTCGAGGATGATGACTGACCTCACCAATCTCTGCCAAAGCTTTGAAAGAGACAGCTATGGAAGATGGCAGCATCCTGCATCTATTTCTCTGCTCATGCTGTGTTAAATAATGGGTCTTTCAGAAAGATTCCTTCTTGGAGGTAAAGTTAGTTTAGCAGATGCTTGAAAGTGGCCTAGTAACACTCGAGAAACTGATGGAAAACTGCCAAGGATGGGATGAAGAAATCGTCCAGTCGATACTCACTCATATCTACTGCAGTGAGCTGGTAGACCACACTGGTGTATGTGACATGCTCAAGGATGAAATTCAGCAGCTCCACATCTGAGGTCAAGATGATCAGCTCTTTCTCGCCCCGTCCACTCACAACATCGTCAGAGACATCAGCAAGTGTATTGAGGGTTCCCAGAGATGCTCGCAGGATCACCTGTGTTAAGTGCCGTGGGGCACGGAGGTGGAAATCTTAGGTGTCATGGTAAAATCACAAGGCTTCCCCTCTCCTCCCTCCCTGATCTGGGTCAATCACATGGCCATCTCTTTAATAACTGTCTTATTTAAAGGGAAAGAAGAGAGCTCTGACCCCACCACTATCCTCACCTGGTTTCACTAAAAAGAAGACATCCTTGTGGAGGTCAATAAAACAGCCCTCCCCCCCCCCATGTTGGGAGGTTCTTGTGGCTTCAGAAAAAATGTAAGAAAGTGCCATGCCTTTCCACCCCCAACTTGTAAGAGGTGGTTTGGAGATAAGCCTGATGTAAGTTCTGGCAGTAAGCATCTTCCTTAGTAGACAGGGTATATGCTCCATCTGCACTAGGACACAGGAGACCTAAATTCAGTTCCTGGCTCTGGTAATCTCAGGCAAGTGACCTCTCCGCCCCATGCCTTAGAGCATGGAGCAGCAAAACTTGAAGGCTGCGTCTACATGACAGACTTCTGCCAGTGTACCTATGTCAGCCAGGGGTGTGAAAAGCTGTGATCCCTGACCGACAGAGCTATGCCAGCAAAAGCCCCTAGCATAGAAACAGTTCTACCATGGCATGCCCGCCTTTGCCATACAGCTGGTTTTGCTCAGGTGTGTGAGATAAGTTATACCAGAAACATCACAGCTTTGCTGGTATAGCCATGTCTGCACTTGGACCACCTTGCCAGTATGCCTTACCATTATACCTATGCGGGTAGAGCATTCCGTGTGTAGACATGGCCTGAGCATAGACCAGCCCTATGTATTTGTATAGTGCCTGGCACAGTGGGGCCCCGATCTTCGTAAGATCTCTAAGGATTTGTCTGTGCCTAGACTGCAGCTGGGATGATGCCTCCCAGCCCAGGTCGACGGACTCATGCTAGCTTCCCTCGAGCTAGCGCACTAAAGGTAGCAGTGTGGCATACTGTGGCACAGGTGGCAGCTCAGGCTGGATCCCGAGTCCAAGCCTGCCTGCCGCCCACCCACTCAGGTTGGAGCTCAGATGGCTAGCCCGACCCACCATCTATCCTGCAATGTCCACACTGCTACTTTTAGCACCCTAACTCCAGTAAAGCTAGTGAGAGTCTCTCTATCCGGGCCGGGATTGGAGACATACCCAAATGCTACTATACTAATACAAGGCTGGGAAATCAAGCCCACCTTCGTAATAGAAGGAAAACCTCATGAGAAATGTAAAACTAATGCACCTTTCATGCAGAGAGATCTCAAAGCATGTTACGCACTTGCCAAGGTAACCCTGGACTACAAACTTCCCTGCAACATCGTGAAATATACCTGGTACTTTTCTTCAGTCACTCCATGCAAACCAAGCCCTTGAAGAACAAAGGGAAACATACATAAGGTCAGTAAGTAACAAGCCTAAAGCCAGTGTTTTGACTCAAGTGATTATTGTTCCCTAACAAGACTCCAGTCAGCCCACCTGAACTGGGATCACAGAGCTGGATACAAATAGAACATCAGCTCTTCTCTATGCATTTTCCCCCCTCAATTTTATCCTGGAAGAAATCTAGAGATGTCAGTAGTATTTTTGCATTGGGGCAGCTCTAAAGATTTAGGGCTAGATCATCAGCAAGCATAAGCCAGGGAAGTCAACGGAGCTACACTGATTTACACCAGCTGGAGAGCCAGCCTTTAGGTTTCCACCTCTCCTTGCACCTTATAAAAGCCAAAGATCAATCATTTTGCAAGATTACAACATTTGAAGCAATTAAATAAGTGGAAGAGGAATTTAAAACCAACTACCACAGAGCTCTTCAAGAAAGCATTTTGCATTCAGATAGAAGAGCCGGTCTGCGCTCAGATGACAAACGAGTCAAGGGAGATTTATTGTGAAATGCAGATGGGATCTTCGATGTTTCAGCCCCTTTCATAATTGTTTTTTAAAATGCTCTGTATACAAAGTGCCACATGGTTATTCTTCTAAGAACCCATCCCAGACATTTTGTGCACTTTACTGGAAGGAAAACAGATCTCTGGGTATCAGCGAATGGATTTTGAATTCAGCAGTTTTGTATGAAGGGTTGGGTCTTCAGAGTAAGCCAAGTCCAATACAGGTGCAATGAAGAACAAAGCCCCCCTCTTTCATATAGAGGGTATGTACAAGAGACAAGGTCTTAGACTTCACTGGAAGTTGAGCCCATGAGCAGGCTATGAAAAGGCACAGGACAAGTATACCTGGAATCATAATCGTGTGTAGTGGCATCACCTCTACTCCTTGAATAGGATAGCTTAATGGCAGGTTTGGTTTGGCTATTAGTAGATCTTGAGTCATTGAGGGGTATCTGGAACAAATGCGAATAGAACAGAGTCAGCGTCGGGAGGATAAAGGATTATGAAAATTGTGTTAACAGTAAAACAGTTTGAATGAGTACTTCTTTCTACCAACATCCCCTATCTGTTGGATGCTTGCAGCTGGAATTTGAAAAGAAACCATCTCCCACTGGGGCACCAAACGAAGCAACCAGATTTTCAGGATACGTGGAGTGCGTAAATTGGGTGCTGAGTAGGTCGTGGTTTAGATGATGTAATGGTGCTCACTCAGGGTCTGGTTGGGGAGCATGGCCTAGTGGTCATGAGTGCAACCCCCGACTGCTAAGGGGATTGTGGGGAGGGGCCCTCCCACTCCACCAGGCTCCGACTTGGGTACTTTGGGCTACCAATGGTCTGGCAACCAAGGCTGCTTAAGGCTGTCCTCCCTGGGCCTCTTCCTTGGACTAACGGGGGCAGGAGGGATGCGAGGCTTTCCCGTGTTGGGGAAGTCCAAACCAAAATAAGTAAGAGGGGGCTACTATGTCCAGGGTCCACAGGGATACTTCCCTCTCTGGTTTTCTCTGGGATGGGTCCTACCTTCCCTCAGGGAGGGCCCCTTTGCGCAGCTGCATCAGATCTTTAGGCTTCCCTCTGCTCTGTGCTACTGGAGCTATGGGCTGCAGGTCTGCTTAGCTGGAGCTCTCTGCCTCTCAAAGGAGCTAACTCCCTGTGTCTTTTAATTCCTCCAGCAGATGGAGGATTTGCTGCAAGTGTGGTGGGGCAGGGCTGGCTAAACCCCAAATAATCCCTTATCCCCTTGGTGCCCAGTGTGGGATTTGTATACCCCATCACTGATGGTAACAGCTGAAAGGATCATTTCTGCTTTCCTCCATAGCTGTTTCTTCTACCTCAGTACAACTCAGCCCCAAGGCTTCAGTTCATGAGACTTTCCCACATGAATTTAGTGCCAGGAAAGATGCAGGCTGGACAGGTCGAGAGACAGGAGAATCCCTTTACCTTTTCTGATAGTGCTCCAACTCCCTCTGTTGCCTCTCTTTAATGGAGGCAAGGTCTTTCTTATCAATATAATCTTCCATCTGGTAGACATGCACATGGTCAGCTTTGGCGCACTCACACTGATTCCTTGGAGCTAGCCTGAAGAGAGGGAAAAAAAAGAAAACCCAGAAGGCTCAGCTTGTGCAAGGACACTGGGAGAATCTGCTGTTTTGTGACCTTTTGAAAATAATATGCATATGGCCAAGCTTGGTGGGTTAGGCCAGTATCTATAAGGGGCATGTGTATATATATTAGTGATATGGGCCTAACCCACCAACCATGGACATGAAACCCTTGTTTCAAATGCACACTGGCAAAGTTCTGATCTCAGCTGGACACTACCGTCCCAGCACTGCAGGATGTTCAGCTCTGGATGGGAACATCATGACTGAGCCAGAGCTAAAACGCGAATAGGATCCCATCCTGCCCTGGCAGGTGAATGTAGCTTCCTTTGTAAGAAAGTTGGGTTACACTGTAGGACATTTGGGCCAGATTCTCAGCTGGTGTAAATGCACAGAGCCACTGACACTAGCTTTTTTTACATAGAGAGCCCAGGAAAGCTGCAGCTCAAGGCAGGGCTGGTGGGAACGCCCGCCAAAAAAGGGGGGGGGGGGGGGAAAGGGGGGGGGGCGGGGCTGGGTGAAAGCAAGGGCCATAAAGGATGGGAGGGGAGAGGGGGGAAACAAAACAACCCCCCACCCACTCCATCATTCTTAAAACCAGAGCCAACATTTGGGATAGAGAACCAGTGGCCATGCACCACCACTTCTTCCCAGTTTGGAAAGGAGAACCCTATGAAATACTGAACTGGGAGTTAGGAGATCCAGGTTCTATTCCTAGATCTGCCACAGGCTCTCTGTGAACTCAGAAAAGTCACCTAATCTCTCTCGCTGGATGCCTCCTCCCCATGGGGAAGGGAGCAATGCTGCAAGATTCCACTCCCTGCCAGAGGAGAGAGTTTCTGGTAATGACAGACTGGGGCCATCTTTCCAGTAGCTAGGAGAGGTGACCACTGCCCTCCTATCCAGCATGCAGAAGGGATAGGGACAGAACATAAAGAGGAGGGAAACTCCAAACCCACTTAAGATCCAGAACAGAGAGGAAAGAGTCCCCTCTTTCATCCCAGAAGCTGGGTCAGGTCAAATGCAACCCTCTATATCTCTAACCACAACCAGCTCAAGCAACAAAAACAAGCAACCACATGGGCATGTGCCTGAGGGATCATTGGAAAATCTGGACATAATCCATAATACGCTTGATGGAGGTTGTGACACCCAGGCTTCACTGTCTCCCTGCAAGAACGGGTGTCGAGCAACAATAAATCCCAGCAAGCCATTAGCAATAAAGCCCCCATAAGTCGCCCAGCTGCCTCTTTTCCACTGTTAGAGGTGACTAGAGACAATAGGGGTTGCATGGAGGGGCTTGTGTCTGAGCTTCCTCTTTCTGGGTACAGATCAATTATTTGCAGGTCCCTTGGCTGGCAGACTTGATACTTGGGACTTTGGCATGGAGGGCCGCTTGTTGGTCTGAGAAGATCAAATTACCCTTAGTAAAAAATAGTTTTCTAATTTAACCCCCAAAAAAAACTTCCTCTTTCCCGGGAACAGATCCCAATTATTTGTAACCTGCCTCCCATTCTACTCCATTGCTCCCCAGAACCATCCTGCTACACCACATTCCCTCCTACCCCAGCCCCATGCAAGGCATGCTCTCCGAGTCCAGGGTGACTGAAGTCTGCAAGACGCAACTTTGTTTGTTAGAAGGGGGGTCGCAGTGCAATGACGTCTGAGAACCCCTGTACTAGACCACACTGCCCCTGACGAATAGATTTCTGGGAGGAAGCCGTAGCTCTGTTTTCCAATTGCCTGTGAAATAAAAGGCCAGCACTTCAGGCTCATTTTCAGGAATGAAGTCAGAGTTTAAGGCCAGACAGGATCACGAGATCATCTAGCCCAGGGGTCGGCAACCTACGGCACGCGTGCCAAAGGCGGCATGCGAGCTGATTTCAGTGGCACTCTGCTGCCGGCCTGGGATTCCATCCACTGGCCCCCTGCCAGCCGGGGGGGGGGGATCCCCGGCCGTGCATCCCAGACCGGGGGCAGGCAGCCAGAATCCCAGACCGGCAGGGGGCTGCCTGTCTGCCGCCGGCCCCACTCAGCCCACTGCCAGTCTGGGGTTTCGTTCGCCGGCCCCTGTAAATGTAAAATGTATGACTGGCACGTGAAACCTTCAATTACAGTGAATAAATGAAGACTTGGCACACCACTTCTGAAAAGTTGCCGACCCCCGGTCTCGCCTCTGGGGGGTGACAAAACAAGGCAAAAAACACCACCCCCCCCCCCCCCCCCACACATAAAATAAAACAAACAATCACAGCCCCCAAGAAGTAAAACAAGTACTTCCCACAGGCGGGAGAAAGGAAGAAACAAAAGAAAGGGGAGGGTCTAGTTTTCCCCCTTTCTTTTTATTTTTTTTTTTTTTTGGGCCCTTGGGGTTTTGTGGGAATAAAGATGCAACAGAGCCCCGTGGTAGAGAGAGAGGGGGTGCTATTTTCCCACAAAAAAAAAAAAAAAAGGAAAAAAAAAAAAATTTGATACTCCTCTCTTTTCCTTTTTTTTTTGCATCAATCATGAAGGGTCTACTTAAAATCTTGGAGAAATCCCACAATTTTTGCAGGTTGGTCACGGCATAAATAGCAAATTTCATGGATGTGTTACACATCTGCGAAATTTGCTATTTACGCCATGACCCACCCACAAAAAATGTGGGATTTCTCTGCAGTGTTTTTCAAACTGGGGTTCTCAAACCCAAAAGGGGGTTGCAAGCCTATTGGTGTGGGGGGTAATAGTATTACCACCCCTACTTCTGCGCTGCTGCTGGCAATGGTGCTGCCTTCAGACCTGGGTGCCCGGCCAGTAACTGCCGCGCTCCGCTGTCTTCAGAGCTGGGTGGCTGGAGACCAGATTTCACGGTCTGTGAGGCGATTTTCACAGCTGAGAATTTGGTAGACCCCTAATTATCATGAACAATGACATAACTCTGATGCATCATTATTTTCCTCCCCTAATGTTTTATAGCATACCTCCTTTTTGTTCAAAAGAGACACTCTTCTGCACCACCATAGCATTTAGGCATCAAAGCTATAAAAGCTCCTAAAGGTACATCTACACTGCAAAAGGCCTGTGGCTGCGAGTCTCAGAGCCCAGGTTGACAGATTTGGGCTAACCCTACAGGGCTAAAAATAACAATGTAGACATGCCTGCTCAGGCTGGAGCTTGGGCTTTGAGACCCACCCTCACTGGATTTCAGAGCCCAGTGGAATGTTTCTACAGGTATTTTTAGCCCCATAGTGCAAGTCTGAATCTGTAGACCTGGGCTGTGAGACTTGCTCCTGCTGGGTTTGGGTTTTGTTGTTTTTTTCGCCATGTAAGTGTACTTTTAGTGGCTTCAGTCCCATTGAATGTCAATGTGATTTAAGCACTTTTAAAAGTTTCCCCCATTACAGTTCCAATTGCTGTGATTGTTTAGATAGATCCAAAGGAATAATTATTTTTTCCTTGTATCCCTCCTCCCTGGCCCTGTGAACAAAATTTGCAATTTTCTCAAGTTTGTTAGTCAATATTATTTGCAGAATTAATTTTTGCAAATAATTTTGGTCTGTAGCTTGTTCATAACCAATTTATAAGGAGCATCTAACAAGCCAGACGCTTCCATTCATCTCAAAGATCCTGTGAATTTTTATCCCTGGATCGGATGAAATAGGCAACTAGTGCAAATCATCCTAATTCCAAACCTGAAATTAACTTTCTGCAATATGGGCATTAACAGCTGGAGCAAATCTAACAATTCAAACAAACATTAGCCAACCTTTTCCTTTGCAGTATTTGCACAAATCTAGCTACGAAGAACAATTGAAGCAGTTAATATCAGCAAGGGAACTTACCAAATTCCATTGTAGGTAAACAAGGACTTGTATTTTTCTGGTGACAGAAGTTTCATGTCAGACCGAGCCTCTGAAATCTCTCCCTTGATCTGATTTTTAGTTAACCTCTGCCAGTGCATGGAGGCCAAAAACACAACCACTGTACACAAGACCAGGATAAGGAAGTATTTCATACTGCATTAAATAGACGAAAGGAAGATTTCAGTAAGCAACGAGGCAGCATTTAGAAGCTGTTAGCTCTGTGGCTGCATTTCCAAACTCTAACGCATTTCACCTTCGGTTTTTCTCCCTTCCACCCACACCCAGCAGATCTGAATCTCTTGTTCATGTTCAGATGAATTTTCTGCCAAACAAATAAAAAAGCCTCCTTCCTTGATTATACTTAGGAAAGACTGACTACCCATGCTGGGAAGCTGCTTATACCAATTATAGGACAGTTGTTCAGACAGAAACTTATGAGCTTGAGACAAAAACTGTTGTATTTTATTGTGTTTTTTCTCTGAACTTTTTGAGGGTGTTATTAAACCAGACAGCCCTGTGTCCTTTAGAGCATGACTAGTTAAGAATTTATCTGTTGACTAGTTGCAATTATTGGCTAAGAATAGATATTAAGACAGATCTTATTAGTTCTCCTAGTGCATCTCTGCTGCTACTTTCATTCCCCCACCTACCAAATGCCTCTCCTAGAATCCACACCGAGGGTTCTGCTGACCCATTTGGACTGTGACACAGGGGAAAAGTGCGCTGGACTCAGAGCAAGAACACCCTGAATTATAGGCCACTTCCTCCAGACACCACAGTTAGTATTTCTGCCATTCACAACCTTTATTATTCCCCAAAGACTACATTAAGATGGAGCAAAGGCTGAGAGTACATGTCAGTAATTCCAGGTTAAATATATTATAGAGATGCTGTAAATATATCAAAAAAATCCCCAAAAAACAACACTCTCCTCCCCCAAGCATTATAAACCCAGGAAATTCAGAGTAAATACCTTTGGATTTCTCTTAAATACGTAGCCTTAACAATGAATTTCCTAGGTTTATAGCACTTGGTATTTTGCGTAAATTACAACATCCCTGTAATGTATTTAATGCAGAATTGCTGATATGTACTCAGTCTTAATGTTGTTTTGTTCGGGAATTATCTTATTGTTTTCAAGTTAAAAATGTAATGCATGTACACTAAACACAAAACTCAACATTAGCAGGCCATACTTCATATCTTCACTCTATTCGAAATATCAACTTGCAGATTTTAAAAAATAATTTAGCTTGTCTGGCTGCTTCCCACCCGTATCCATACACACTTTAGAATGCCACAAAGCAACCAGAATGCACACCCCTCCCCACTGCCCTGTTTTGTAGGTAGATCTGGTGCAACAGGTAGCTTTTGGAAAAAAGTGGTAACTACACACTTCATGATTTTCAGCATTGCTTACCCCCTAACTGAAGTTTCTGTCAGCAGAAGCTGGTCGGTGCATAAGATCTTCTTCAGGGAAACTCATGAAAAATTGCCTTCCTTCAAAATGGCCGGGCTACATTGCTCCATTGAAGATGGTGGCTGCAACTTCCTAACACCACCAGTCTTTCACCCACTCAAGCACTCTCCTCTGGGCTATGCCAGCCCTCTCCTCACCTTGCAGGTTAACAATAGGTGTACCCCAATCTTCGAGTCCTTTCGAAGCATTTCCCTGTGATATCCAGCCCCGACACAAGAGACTCACAGAAATCCTGGATCCTCTCCCTCCACTGAAGCAGTGTACCCCAGTTTACTAGTTTTCCCTTAAACCACCGCTCCTGCAAACCACACAGCACTTGTGAGAATTTATAACAAAACCAGTTTTATTTAAGAAAAAATAAAGATTTAAGTAGCAACAAGAAAGGGTGGTGGAAACAAATGGTCACAATACAAAACAAAAGCATAAGAAGTGAACCTGGGTCTACACTTATTAATAGTTACCTTTCCTATTTAATAAAGTAGGCTGCCCCCCCAAAGTTCAGTCAGTTGCAGAACTGGATGGCTTCGCAAGAACCAGGATCCAATTTTTCATGAGAACATCCCTGCTTTCCTCAATGAATGGATGCAGAGGGTCTCTCCCTCCTCTCTGTTATACTGAAATAGTCTTGTTCCTATTCATAGATATAACCAAATGGCAGTTTGCCCTAATATTCCTTTTTTACCTTCAAGAGGTTTTGACTGTTTGCAGTTGTCTCTGGTGGTTTGTCACTTCTTTCCAATTTCTCACACATGCATTTCCCCAAGACCCATGGTTTTGTCACTGTTCAAAATATAGCTTGTAGAGAAATACGAAGATAACTATGTTTTAACTTCACTGTACATTGGTCCAGCAACATTTTCGACCACTCCTTTCTCCTGTACAGTCTTCCCTAAAAGGAGCTGTACTAAGTCATGTCCATATTGAGCGGTGGTATTCATTGCACAGAAAGAGTGCCCGCCAACAGTTGAGCAATAAATAGGATGTGTATTTAATTACTTGCTTTCTTGCCTATCAAGAAAGTACTGAAGCCACAAAGTGGGGTTGCTCAGCATTTGAAGGGGGTGGGGGGCAAGAGTCCAAACAAACTTCTCTTTGGGTGCCTAAATTTAGACACTTGTGTTTGAATATTTGGGCCCACCATTTAAACAAGCCATGGTATGAACACTGGTGGACTAAACAACACATACCTAAATCATCTGTAGCAATCACTTCTAAATAAACCCATTTAAGACAGAAGCACCCTCTGCTCCACTTTTTGAGCTTTAAGCTCATCAGTTTACCGGGGGGAATGAGATGGGAATCCTAAACTTAATGAGGAATGGATTTTTCACATCATCAGGAGGAAATCCAGCCACTCGAAACCTTTTCCAGGACCTACCCCGACATTAGCAATACCACTGTGACTTATTTACATTGACCCAAGAAAGGAAATGGCACTTATACAAACAGAACAGTGTGTGGGGAAAGTCCAACTAGACTTGGAATGCTGTCCATCATGAAGGGCTCCATCCTGCAAGAACACGTTCACAGGGAAGAGTCATTTTACTCACATAAGCTATTCCCAATTACTTCTGTCATAAATATAAAGGGAAGGGTAAACCCCTTTAAAATCCCTCCTGACCAGAGGAAAAATCCTCTTACCTGTAAAGGGTTAAGAAGCTAAAGGTAACCTCGCTGGCACCTGACCAAAACGACCAATGAGGAGACAAGATACTTTCAAAAGCTGGGAGGAGGGAGAAAAACAAAGGGTCTGCGTCTGTCTGTCTGTCTGATGCTTTGGCCGCGGACAGAACAGGAATGGAGTCTTAGAACTTAGTAAGTAATCTAGCTAGGTATGTGTTAGATTATGATTTCTTTAAATGGCTGAGAAAATAGCTGTGCTGAATAGAATGAATATTCCTGTCTGTGTGTCTTTTTTGTAACTTAAGGTTTGCCTAGAGGGATTCTCTATGTTTTGAATCTAATTACCCTGAAAGGTATCTACCATCCTGATTTGACAGAGGTGATTCCTTTACTTCTATTAAAAGTCTTGTAAGAAAACTGAATGTTTTTTCATTGTTCTAAGATCCAAGGGTTTGAGTCTGTGGTCACCTATGCAAATTGGTGAGGATTTTTACCAAACCTTCCCCAGGAAGTGGGGTGCAAGGGTTGGGAGGATTTTTGGGGGAAAGACATGTCCAAACTATGTTTCCCAGTAAACCCAGTGGCAGTGGAAATCCAAGGGTAAAATAATTTTGTACCTTGGGGAAGTTTTAACCTAAGCTGGTAAAAGTAAGCTTAGGAGGTTTTCATGCAGGTCCCCACATCTGTACCCTAGAGTTCAGAGTCGGGAAGGAACCTTGACAACTTCCGTAGTATTTTTTGCGTAAGTTACTCACTTGCCTACGTGTTTGTAGAATCAAGTCTTAACAGAGAAGTCAATTCATTAGAGGGTTTGTCTTCACTGAAGAATTAACTCAAGTTCTGTTCACACACAAACCCCCTGAACTCCAAGTAGGGGTGCTTTTAGCTCAAGTTAGCTGGCCCATCAGGTGTGTAGACGGTCAGCTGTTAACACAATTGCTCTGTGATAGAGTGGCCACTTACACATTCCCATAATAATGGACACTCTGGTACTTCTGGGAATGGTGTGGGCCCGCCCCCACCAGCATGACCTCGCATGCCTGGTGCGTACAAGCTCATGCTGCACAGAGGACGCCATTTTGAAGAATGCGCCCTCCACTCACACAGGCAGAGGTGGACTGGCACATTCTTCAAAATGGCGTCCCTCGCCTGATACTGGACAAAACCAAGTCTGGTTTGGCTCAGTACCAGCTGCGGGACAAGTCACCCAAAAAGAGAGTAGGTCTGGTTTAAAACTGGAGGAATGGCCTTCCTACACGGTGCTGCTCACACGAGACATTTTGCAGTGTGGCACTTTCCCTTGAGCCAGGCTAACTTGAGAAGAGTAACTTGAGTTCACCCGGCAATGACGACATTGTGACCATAAATTTTCTTTCTTTCTTTGTTTTCCTTTCAGTTTTTCACGTACAGAACAACTAAAGGAAACATTTGTGTGTTGTTTTTTAAAGTTCCCATTCATTTGTTTTTAAATACACATCATGGAAATATTTGTTGGTTTTAGGCATTGTAAAAGGCATTTTCCCTTTTGTTTTATATATCATTTTACTTAAGATCAGTCAAATTGTATTGTTAAGGGCAAAATTTAAAAAAACCCAATAACTCTGGAAAAAAATGACTATTTGTCAGGCTTACATTTTCAAGTCACTTTGGATCCTATTCACACAAAAGGCAACTACCAGATATTTGTAAAAAAAGCCAGAGCACAAAAGTACAGGGAGATTATAAAAATTCTGGTATTTTTAAACAAACCAAAAAAATTAATTCTGCCTCACTGTCCCTTTTTAAATGACTACCTTGAAGAATAAAATTCCAGAAACTAAACAAGGAAGATAATAAAATAAAACAAAACATAAGACATTCAGAACTAAAGCAAACTAGGGCCCAGTCCTGTAAACATTTAATAACTGTGAACATTATGCCTGGTATTGGTATTGCCTGGTTTACCGGAGCATACCAAGATCTCTTGCTTTTTGCCTGGTGGTAGGAGGAAGATTGTAAAGAAAGCATTACATGCCTGTGGAATTATTGCACTTGGTATTTAAGACAATCT